ATTGTTAAGTAATAAAGTGAGGTAAGAACAGTTGCCACTGTTATTACCTTGCCTGTTTGTGTTAGTATTTAACACTGCCAGAACATCAAGACACGATTATTATAGAAATGCACTTTAAACGCGGCAGAAAAGCTTCCAACGCAAATAGCATGACAATTTTATAACGCAAGAAAATTTTCCATCAGTTATGCAAGTTAGAAGGAAATTATGCAATTTTTTAAACAGTTTGCGGCGAATTCCATAAATGGCTAGTGATGTACGTTTAATTCCAGAAAAAAGTGGTCAAGAAAATAGGATTTTGAGCTTGAACAATTATTGTTTTATTGCGTAGGAGTTGCCAACAAAAACTCGACTCGATAAAGACGGAGTTACAAGTTCCAGGTATAAAATAAAAGCATTTATTAGCTAAAAAATTCGAGAAATTGCAAGCAGATATGAACCATTTTTACAAATCAGCGTGAGGAATTACGTTTCATCTTTGGAAAAGTATTCTCGGGAATAACAGAAAAGGCTTCATGCAGTTCGAAGAGTTCACGTAATAAGGCATGTTGGGTAGCGACGTATAAGCTAGAATAAAAAACTTCGCAGCAATACATTCAATTGGCAAATAAATGTTAGCGACTTGTAAGCTAAAATTAACAATTAATTAAGCAAATAATTCTATTTTTTCCTTAATTAATAGAATTAATCATTATTAATTCTATTAATTAAGCATTAATTAATTCTTATTAATTCTTATTAATTAACAACTCACGTAGGGAAGAATAGACGAGTCCCTGCGGCACGCAGTTGTAGGGCGTCAGGTCATTTGACATGTAGAAAAAGCAAGTTAATATTAGCATTCACAGACCATAAAACTATTTAGCTGTTTACTTGCAAAACAAGAACATCAATCTGGTAAATCTCATTGGAGAGCGGATGCGGTTTAAATACTTGTCGTTAGATAGAGTCGCTGTGACAGCTTATTTTTTCACCGAGTTGATAGTTTAAAAAGGGATTGTATAAGAAATATCAGACGACTATAAATAAACGATTCTAAAATGGAAAAAATAGCAGCGGAAACATGAAAATTGAAATTATTCCAAGTGAAAAATTTCCTCTCTATTGAAAAATTACTCTTAAGTGGAAAATTAATCCAGAGAGATTATTGCTTTAAAGTGAATGCTTTACTTTCAAGTCAAACTACGCTATTTTGTCCACTTAAAGTTCTTTACCACTATTACTTACTATTACTTACCACTTCCATTACTTACTTATATACTACTTACATACTACACTAATTTTTCCACTTAAAGTTCTTTGCTTCTATTACTTACTACTTTCATGTTTTAGAAATTATTAAATTATTAAGTAAAAAAATTATTATCTGAGAAAAAGACCATAAATATCACAAAGTTCTCACCAGTAACTCTCTGCACGACGATCTTGACGCGAGACTTGGTATCAACAGTCACGACGAGTTGTGAGTCCGGGGTGACATAGGGCTGACCTACCAGCGACGACTTGACTCCTACCACCGCGTCCGTGAGGTAGTCTAGTACCAGCTGCCCTGTGCGCCGCCCAGTCATGGGCTCAGTGCAGTCTACCACTACCAGACCATCTGGATACAGGAACAATAATGCTAATTAATGAGGGAAATTTAAAAACAGGTCCTATATGGTTACCTTACCTGTCAGTGTTATTCTTTACCACTACCAGACCATTTAGACACATGAACATTAGTGTTAATTAGATAATGTTAATTAATGAGGGAAGGTTAAAACAGGTCCATTGTTGTTATCTTACTTGTCAGTGTTATTACCTACCAGTACCAGACCATCTAGACACAGGAACATTATTGTTAATTAGATATTGTCAATTAATGAGAGAAGGTAAAAACAGGTCCGTTATTGTTACCTTACCCGTCAATGTTATTATATATCACTACCAGACCATCTTGATACATGATTGGTATTAACTAATTAATGTTCATTGTTAAGTAATAAAGTGAGGTAAGAACAGTTGCCACTGTTATTACCTTGCCTGTTTGTGTTAGTATTTAACACTGCCAGAACATCAAGACACGATTATTATAGAAATGCACTTTAAACGCGGCAGAAAAGCTTCCAACGCAAATAGCATGACAATTTTATAACGCAAGAAAATTTTCCATCAGTTATGCAAGTTAGAAGGAAATTATGCAATTTTTTAAACAGTTTGCGGCGAATTCCATAAATGGCTAGTGATGTACGTTTAATTCCAGAAAAAAGTGGTCAAGAAAATAGGATTTTGAGCTTGAACAATTATTGTTTTATTGCGTAGGAGTTGCCAACAAAAACTCGACTCGATAAAGACGGAGTTACAAGTTCCAGGTATAAAATAAAAGCATTTATTAGCTAAAAAATTCGAGAAATTGCAAGCAGATATGAACCATTTTTACAAATCAGCGTGAGGAATTACGTTTCATCTTTGGAAAAGTATTCTCGGGAATAACAGAAAAGGCTTCATGCAGTTCGAAGAGTTCACGTAATAAGGCATGTTGGGTAGCGACGTATAAGCTAGAATAAAAAACTTCGCAGCAATACATTCAATTGGCAAATAAATGTTAGCGACTTGTAAGCTAAAATTAACAATTAATTAAGCAAATAATTCTATTTTTTCCTTAATTAATAGAATTAATCATTATTAATTCTATTAATTAAGCATTAATTAATTCTTATTAATTCTTATTAATTAACAACTCACGTAGGGAAGAATAGACGAGTCCCTGCGGCACGCAGTTGTAGGGCGTCAGGTCGACGGTCTTGACGTACTTCATGTTGGCCAAGTCGAGCTTGTACAGACCGCGCTGGTTGGTGTGCGTCACGTACGCGTAGCGGAAGTCGTGGCCCAGGTCCTGGGGGTTATAGGGGGCACAGATTTTTATATTATGGCATGAACAAACATTTCATTAGATAATAAGTTGTTTAAATTAGAAAAGAAGCTTAAAAATTTTACAATTATGTGAGAGGAGTAATAATTTTATATTATGAGATGAACAAACATTTTATGAAAATGAAAAAGGTTTTATGAAATGACAGGAGCAGACATTAAATATCACCTCCAAAAGATATCAGATAAGATTTATAGGAATATAAGTAATGATGTATATAAGTAAATAGATATAATATAAGTAAATATATAAGTAAATAGATACCTATTCGGAATTTTTTATAGTTTGGTAACTCTGCAGAGGATTGGGCTAAATCACCCATTGTTATTTATGCAATGTTTTTTAATATCGAATTGTAAACTTAACACAGGGATTTGAGTGACACCTCTTTAAAATACATTAATGCCCCTGTGTGGGTCATCCTGACCCGGTTTGGTAGAAACACCCTGGTGCATCAAACCTAACTCTAATTGAACCACCCTGGTTTATCAAACCTAGCTCTTGCTGAAACATCCTGGTGGTTCAACAAGGAAACACCCTGGTGTTTCAAACCTAACCCTGGTTGAAACACCCTGGTGTTTCCAACCTAGCTCACCTGAGTGGGAGGGATGAACAAGTTCTTGACTAGGTCGAAATGGCCGTCGATGGGCTCGGGGTGCACCGTGTGGTGCTTCTTTTTCTGCGACGCGTACCTGATGACCTGCGTGGAGAGGTACCAATACTTTCAAATACCTCCCAATAGGGCTTATTCATGAGAAATTTAGTTATTAATCAATATTCCAGCCTATATAAAATTTATTATTTATTTACTATTATCATTATTGCCATTGTAATTATCTGATCGTAATTTTTATTACTATTAGTGTGATATTTAATAATGTTACTGTTATTATTATTCCGATATGCTATATCTATCAGTGGGTAAGATGTCATACAATTTTCTGCCTTGAAATATATAGAAGAGGTAGTGAAATTAATTAAAGTCAAGATTTAAATTATGGAAATAATTTCATTAGATTTCTCAAGCAAAACGGAGAGTATTATAGAGCCTCTTTGGTCGACCCTAATCCATTCAAGAGGATGAGTAATCCTGGTCTAGAATGAAATAGTGAGCTTATAAGAAATTAAAAAACATTAATATTTTCCGTATGCAGAATTCCTGAGAGCCATATTTTTGCTTGTGCAAAGAAAATAAATATTAATAATGATATTTGATTGTATAATTTTGCATATTTGATAATTTATAAATATATAATTGATTTTACTNTCTACATGTTCAGGAAACGATATGAATATCACATTGAGGTAAAGTCAAAAAAATAGCCTAGGACTATATTCGGGCTAAGCTTCCGGGAAATATATTTATTATATTCGGGAAATGGGCGCTACTGATTTCCTTTCCATATCGAAGACTGCACTTGTTCACTAACATCAAAACAATCAACGATGGTATAATAATTCGAGTCGCATCTAAATACAGCCTACTAGCCTGTTTTACTACTAGACATTCTCTATTGGCGTACTATTCCTATATAAACGACAGCCTAAATACAGCTCTCTAACCTATACGTACATTCTCTCCTTATATGAACATCTAAATACAGCTCACAAACCTGTACTGTATATGATTACTTATAAATTATGAATGAAATTAATTCGTGTGAGAACAGAGAGGACGTTAGTACAGTGATGGCTAACAGAGGCGCCAGCCTTTGCCTGAACTTCACAGGTCAAGAGCGCTGAAAACTCTTAATTAATATACAGGGGTTGACGCCGAACCTTGTAATGCAAACTGCTGCTGCTGCTGCTGCTGCTGCTCATATTACAGCGACAACATGAAACTACTCGCTGCAGTCATCTTAATATGCAGGAATACGCATAATGAAACACGAGGATAAAGCAATAGCGATTGTAGAGTTGTTTTCATGTTGCGATGAGATTCATTTTTAAGCTCAGATGACCTAACTCGGATGAATTATTTCAAAACAAGTCTAGAATTAGAATCCAACATTTTATATTCAGAGTGCAATTTATTTGTAGATTATGCGAAAAATTTAAAATTTTGTATCTTTCAGAAACCAGAATTCAGTTTATACATAGTCGGAAATGAGTATCTCTTTCGAATCAACTATATTATACTTTCTTCGATATAATTCATGATAGTTGCGGTGCTATTTTCACAGAAAAAATTGTGCATGAGAAAATATTATTATGATATTAATGTGTAGGTACATTTTCATTACAGGAAATATTTTACCTTTGATCTGTTGATAAAATTTTGCATATTCGTCTAATAAATTGTTCGATAAACACGAAAGAATAATCCCACGTTTGCTGCTAACAATATTGCATTACGGTGGATTAAGTAAAGCTTGCATATAAACGAATAATGCATTGGTGATGAATTTATTTCCGTGAGTTGTTCTCTTATCTTAAATAATTAGAAGTACGTAAATCTTATTGAAAAAAAATGAGAATGCGGGTCTTAACAGCAGAAACCCGAAGCTTAGAAAAAACCTAAACTTCAAGACGAATGATCTGAGGTGATCAATCATTTATTCTGATGATAACAATCATTATGGGATTATACTACTTAAAACCCTCGCATTACATTGAACGTTATATTTTACAAGATCAAAATAAAAAGTAATGATAAACAAATTAAAAAATCTACAATTAATTATTTTGAATGTAACGAGATGTACGTTTGTATTGATTGCTTTTTTATTGACTGTTTTTGACAGTTCCAGGAATTAGAAATCCATAAGGGCAGTTATCCTCATTGACAGCACATTGAAGAGGAAATATAGAAGGGAAATCAGTTTCACTGCCAGAACACGGAAGAGGAAATCTATGAGGGCTAACAGCCTCGTCTCAGTACACGGAGAAGCTAATCCCGCCGGCCGTTCCGAAGCAATCAAGGATCGTAAGCAGCTTGTGTCATCACGACAGAGCGTCTGTCATCGCCCCAAGAAAGATGTCAAGGATTGCGAGCTCGAGTCTTTGATCTGAACATCCAATTAGATGGTGAGTGTATGTGTTGTAAACGAGGAAGTAGGTTAGTAAGAATACTAATAAGAATTTCTGTTATTTCGCAAATTTTGAGATATTATCATGACCCATAATGTGGATCTTTATCTTAAACATATGTAAGTCGGTTCGAAGATCAGGGTCTGAGATCTTTCATATAATTACCGGACATGTAATGGGAAAACTATATTCGTGAGGTCATAGGTTAGGATTGCATATATAATTCGTAGATAATCTTCAATCAATCTTTATATTGGCCAGAGGTTTAGATATATTATGATCATGACATCTTCATTGAACGAAAAAGTTCGTTCATTAGTAATTCCAACTTAAATTTCGAATCGTGTTTTACTGGATACTCTAAATTTAAATTGAATTTGTGAGATGTCAATTAAATATTTGTGCGATAAATCATTCAGATTGGATTGCGTTAGTTAAAATGCCGTAGAAAAATATCTCATGGAAGAGTTTGCAATAGGCAACTGGTAGAATTTTTGTGGTAAATTACTTCCTGCACGAAAATCTGCGAAAATGCCACGAAAAAATAACTCAGAGGCTTATGTAAAAAACTTTATGCAAGTAATGTTCATGAAGATTAGTGTCTGCGTGAAACGCATCGGAATTATACTTTGATAAATTTAATCATGGCAGAAAAAAGTAAATTAAATATCCGGTGTAATTTCCGTAGAGTTTTCATTCCTACAACACATATTATGCAACGGTGAATATTAGCTGAATAAAATTTCATTATTGCCAATCTAACAGAATAAAGAAGGTTGAGAGAAAATATTTTTGAAGTTCACATAATCAATAAATCTTCAAAATTAAAAAATCAATAAATATTTCAATAAACTACTAATAAATCAATAAAATTAAACTTATTGACTCTCAGCGGTATTATTCAGTATTTAAAAATTCGTGTTGCTTCGCTGTTACGAAAAACAATAGAAAATTATATACCTCGCCTAATTTCGTTTCTATTAGTTCTAACGCAAATTTAATCCAGAAAACTTGGTTTGCTGATAAGTTTGATAATCGAAACGCATTGAAAAGTTTTATTATTCAAAGTATCAAAAAAAAACACGTAAATTCTTTGAGCGTTCCAATAATAAGCGCTAGAATTTGTCTGTTTGATATTAATTTAACTCATATCTAATTCCTCTCTCTGATTTAACGTCCAACACATTCATTTCTCTCACCTATCTTCTGTCTCATTTATCAAGCTTACTCCTATTCAATCTCTATTATCTTATCTATTTATACCCTGTTT